TTTTTTTGGTAAGGTTTCTTATTGAAAAAATTGATTTTTAGCAGTTTTCTGTCAAAAGTGGGGGAATTCATTACCAAATACCAATGCCCCCTCCATGCTGAAGGTCACTTCAGTACGTCAACATGGCAGCCAAAATCTCTCTGAGGGCCCTGGCTATTCACTACTTCCACATCAACCCAGCCTTCATCGAAGCAGAAAATTTCCCATCAAATTCCACAGTTCCACGTTACTCATACCAACATACCACCAAAGACTGCCTGCCAAGAATAAAATGTTCTGCTCCACCTCGCCAAAGAAGATCCAAAAACTTCAGACTGACTACTGACTCTCCACCTAAATGCTTGAATTGCAAGAATGATCACCATACTCTTGCTCCCAAGTGCCCAACCAGACGAGATTACTTAAGAGACAACCCCAACAACAACAACAACAACAACAAAAAAAAAAACACTGCACAAGGACTACAATGCTGCTAATTACCAAGCTTCAAGCAGACACTAACCAGATTCTTCAAGCCACGCATGCGCATCTACCACTTCTCCCAGCTCTTGCTAGCGCCCACCAAGATTCTTTATGCATCATGTATGCTCATGTGTAAATGTAGCTAAAACCTGGTTCCTGCAAACCCACCTCAACGAACTTTCCCAAGCTCAAAAACCCATCCTGGTTCACATTCCCTGAATCCCACCTTCCCGAGATCAAAAAATCCACTGTAAATGCCCGCCAACATTACCGCTGCTCCCCCAATACCACACCTTCCCCCCCCCAACCAGATGACCAATCAAGACCACTGGACGCCGACCGATTCCACCAATGAGAGTCCACCAGCACCTGTTTCCCACCTCCGTCACAAGGGAAACCAATCAACGCCACACCTCAATCGTCTCAGCCGCCAGCCAAGAAGGGTTTAAAAAACAAGAGCCTTGGGATGCATCCCTACGTACTACCGCCATCCTTCCAAGAAGTCCATTCTTGCTGGTGTATACTTCTACAAAAACCAACCAGAATGAGAACGCAATGTACACTCCAGAAATTATGCAACGCCTCCACAACGGGACAGTCAAGTTCACCTGCGACTCAACTCGATCATTCACCACTGAATCCCTGATCAACCTACTCTCAAAAAGTCACCGCTTTGTTTGGGACTCGATACACCACAAGGAAGAAATTCAGGACTCTCCAGAATGGGGCTGCCGAGACGGTACCCTCACCTAGCAGGACTGTCAATGATCAATCACGTGAAGGCAAGTTTCCCCAGCACTTTGCTGCCTGCTAAAGCTGGGATGTGGCTCCTAAACGAACCCTGTAATTGCTGCCTCCGCCCTCCTCTGCTGCAGAAGAGCTAAACGAGAAGACACTTTCCCTTGGGGAAGTCACCGAGCAAACAGAAGAATGAAGTCACCCTCCAACCGTAGGTCCCAAGAAAAAACAGGAGAAAGAAGAAAATGAACGACACCCCCCGCCCGGGAGGCCGCCGCCGGGTCGCCATCTGCAGAAGACCCGGGCCGGAAGTACCGGCAAACCTACAACAACAATATACGCTGTATGTACTTTTTCAAGACTGGTGGACCGATTACATCGACTCCAGCTGTGGGACTTGAACTACCTCAAACTCCATCTGATCTTCCCATTTTTTCTTTGTATATGACTGAGGAAGCTTACTGCGAACGAAAACCTTTCCTCATTCAAGAAACCCAGATGTACATAGATGTGTCTAATTAATTACTACGTTATCGTGTCTTAAATCCCTACAATTACGTCCCAAAGAGTCACCCTCTATCGTTTTCTAACCCAGGGGTCGTATATTACACCCCAAATTTAGTTTTTTTCTTGACATTCTAAAAATTCTACCCAAACAGATTCTGTTACTAATCTTCCTATGTTTTTACCTGTTTTTAATGCAACAATTTATATTTTTCTAGTACCCATAATGCAACCATCACGTCACGCCCCTTCCCGTTCTATCTTTCTACATCGAACAACTAAACCCTTGAATAATGGCACTTTTGCAATCAATCCCGGACTTTTAAGAAGCGAGTATATATAGTGATAGGAGTCAAGTGGAAGGTCGCGTGGGTAGATGTAGTAGTACAATTGTGGCGAGATGGGTTGGGTTTGAGAAGGACCCGTCAACACAAGCTATAAGCGTCTCCAGAATGGATAATATACAAGTGAAGAGCAATTTGAAGGAACTGGTGGATATTTTAGCACGTTTTCTGTCAAGAGTCATAGAAACGTTTAGTTGCAACATTCGGTGACATGTAAAACGATGTGACTTGGAGGATTTCTTCAACTTTTGGGATTGGCGTTAGTCATAGTGAGGCCAAAATATTATCAACTTACCGCATTCCAGCAACTGGTCCTAGGCATGGTATTGAGGATCCATCTGGATGCTAGGTCCTCCATTTATAATTGACCATACTGCCACTAAGGAGGTGAGCACGTGGCTAGCCCGAACAACTAATTTATACTTTCTTAAAAAATCTAAAACTGTTTATAACGAACACATAAGTTCTACGACGAGGCTCCCAAATCCTGACAGGTACAGGTAACCTTTATCATCATTCAAGACAACAAGTATAAACACTGTTTCGGGGAGTAAATAAGTACCCTCAGCCTAAAGTCGATGTGTATTGGCCCTCAGTATGAAAAAGTACAGCATATTCGTGAAGATCCCTGCATCAATAATCCCAAGATGTTGGTTGTGTCTGGCAGAATGTGTATAAATGTTTTAAGAAAACCGACAAGTTGATAAATTCGACACTGTGCACTGACATAGAAGAACCACTGCATGGCAAAACTTTTCCATGAATAAAGATTCCCAGAATGTTGCAGCACAAGTGTCTCATTTTCAACTTGTCAGTTTTTCTAAGCAACTTATACACAGAGATTTGGTATTCAGCATGAAGATCCACACTTCTCCCATTTCGCTAATCTTTACAACTATTTGTGTTGGATTTTGATTGAAACTTAAGGAAGTCACAAAAAGGAAGTGTTTCGCATGTGTTATTAAGTAGCAGTTAGAAGAAATTAAGTGGATATGTCTTGTTAGAGGAGGATCAACAGTTAGTGATGTGCTTATTATAGAGGAGTGATCAACAGTTTAGTGATGTACTTATTATTAGAGGAGTAATCGAACATTTAGTGATGTGCTTATTATTAGAGGATGTGGAATCAACAGTTAGTGAGTGCTTATTATTAGAGGAGTGATCAACAGTTAGTGATGTTCTTATTGTCAGAGGAGTGATCAACAGTTAGTGATGTACTTATTATTAGAGGAGTGATCAACATTCCGTGATGTACTTATTATAGAGGGGGAAGGGGGGGGAGTAATCAACAGTTATGATGTACTTTATTATTGAGGAGTGATCAACAGTTCGTGATGGCTACTTATTATTAAGGAGTGATCAACATTAGTGATGTACTTATTATTAGAGGAGTGATCAACAGTTAGTGATGTACTTATTATTAGAGGAGTGATCAACAGTTAGTGATGTACTTATTATTAGAGGAGTGATCAACAGTTAGTGATGTACTTATTATTAGAGAGAGATCAACGTTAGTGATGTACTTATTATTAGAGGAGTAATCAACAGTTAGTGATGTGCTTATTTATTAGAGAGTGAATCAACTGCTAGTGGATGTGCTAATATTAGAGATGATCAACAGTATGAATGTCCTTATTATTAGAGGAGTGTCAACATTAGTGGATGTACTTATTATTAGAGGAGTGATCAACAGTTAGTGATGTACTTATTATTAGAGGAGTGATCAACAGTTAGTGATGTACTTATTATTAGAGGAGTGATCAACAGTTAGTGTATGTGCTTATCATTAGAGGAGTGACAACAGTATACAAGTTTTTTTGGGGGAAAAAAAAAAATCTTTGGTGCTTATTATTAGAGGAGTGATCAACAGTTAGTGAAGTACTTATTATTAGAGGAGTGATCAACAGTTAGTGATGTACTTATTGTCAGAGGAGTGATCACCAGTTAGTGATATGCTTATTATTAGAGGAGTGATCAACAGTTAGTGATGTGCTTATTGTCAGAGTAGTGATCACCAGTTAGAGTGATGTACTTGTCAGAGGAGTGATCACCAGTTGAACTCCTGTTGGTCTTAAGAATAAGGTATTTTGTTCCAGTTTCAGCTCCTCATAGTTACTTCTTAGGTGTAATTCTGCTCTCAACAGTAGCTTCGCCAGGGCCACTTTGGCTTCTATCAGGGCAAACCGCATAGCTAAAGAAAAAAATAAATTATCAAAAGGGCTGGATGAGGTGCAGGAAATATTTTCTTATTATAATTAGTATACGGAAAATTAGGATAAATAAATATTCTTAAATAAAAATAAGTTATATCAAATACCTATGCAGCTCCTGGGCCCCATCCCAAAGGGCATGTGAGTATAACTGATGATCTTGTCCTTGTTCTCTGGCATGAAGCGGTCTGGATGAAACATCTCCGGCTCTGACCAGTAGCGAGAGTCACGGTGCAGACTCCAGAATGGGATGATCACTAAGTCACCAGGATGCAGAATCACTTTAGTTCCAGGTACTGTTATGGTAATATTTTTTCTTTTTATTGGTGGTAGGAATTACATTCAATTTAACATAAAATTTCACGATAACCTTGTGCCACTTAAGTAAGACAATAATGCTTATAACAGTGATTGTTACAAGTAGTGTTGAAGGAAAGATATGAGCTGGAATTATTTAGGCTGCACTATTATTGTAATGTAATAGTATTTATTCACTGACAAGATGATGAAATAGACTGCATGTGCAACCTCTAGAAAAAGACACATGTGCAACGTCTAGAAATAGACACATGTGCAACTCTAGAAATAGACACATTGTGCAAACTCTAGAAATCGACACGTGTGCAACTCTAGAAATAGACACGTGTGCAACTCTAGAAATAGACACATGTGCAACTCTAGAAATAGACACATGTGCAACTCAATAAATATATACAGCAGACAGTGGAAGATGAGGTAATCAGGTCCCTCAGCCTAGAGCAAGTGATGAGCACCTTCTTAAAGATCTGGAAGCAGAGGGCGCGAGATTGTTGCAATGAATGTATCACCATACCGACAAAATGAAAATAATTACACATGTGCAAACATCTGGATATCTCACTGCAGTCGTTTCACACCCAGTGGCTTTATCAATACAAATTCCAAGGACAACAATTTGGAAACAGTAGAAATTAATACAAAATATGAGGAATTAGTCCCCTCAGCCTAGGAGCAGGTGATGATACCGTAGTCTCAAGAATCTGAAACCCAGGCAGGAAGATTGGTGCTCATATACCTGAGTCAGAAGAAGTGCAGTAGCCGAAGGCATTATCATGGTAGGTGGTTTTCCAGGGGAATAGGGCATGCCCGAAGGTTAGGCCAAGAGGTAGCATGGCGTAATTCAACTGGGTAATTGCAGTCCTACCAGTGACAATGCCCTCCGTCAGCTTCACTTCATCTGACTCCAGTAATTAAAACTCCAATCTCCTGCCTGTGCTTCATATTCTTTAAGACTACGGTGCACACCACCTGCTCCAAGGCTGACGGACTGATTACTTCATCTTCCTCTGTCTGCTGTATATATTTCAAGTCTTCATAATCCATGAATTGTATTGACAAAGCCATGGATGCGAAACGTCTACAAGTATTGATACTCAGATGTTACACATGTGTCTAATTCATCAACACTAATACTGCCTGCATGTTTGGGGGGGGGCGAACGAAAAATAATTAGTTATTATTAATTCCTGTATCAACGATTGTGTTAACGAGTGTTATATAGAAGACCTTAACTCAGTCTGTTCCTAAATATTTACACACGCTTCAAAAGATTATATAACAATATTTTTTTAACTATATTATTATTATATATTATTTTTATTATTATAATTTTATATTATTATTATATTATTATTATTAATATTATTATTATTATTATTGTGGAAAATTACATTTATCTGAATGCAACTCATTATGTACATAACAGTAAATGATTAACAAAGGATAATTATTATTTACAGAGTTACTAGACAAATAGGAAATTTGGGACAACTAGGTCACAAAAAATGTCCCTCCTTCGATACCTACCACCTGTACAATATCCACAAGTTGCTCAATGACCTATTAATTACAAATGAAAATGTACATATCACCAGAATTCCTGGTAAATATAGATAAGTTTTGTAGACATATATTAAATTTAATAAAGAAATATATATATATACACATTTACATAACAGAAGAGAAAATCTTAAACCTCACTCACCAATTTGACTGGAGATCCAAGGTGTATCATACTCAGAAACCTCACTGTCTATCTCTATGAAAATAACTACAGGCCAGAGTAACAAACCATAAGACTTTTATCTTAGGTTCCAGGAGCTGTCCTTGTCCAGTATCGCCTGATATCTCAAGTTATGCAGGAATGCACATTCCATCAATTTCGCCTCCTATTTGAGAGGTGTCAGCCCAATTTTACCTCTAGAGCACGAAAAATTCTTCCCATTATCACTAACGTTTTCTTGGCTCATTCAAAAAACAATGGCGAGTCTCATCTGCGCAGGTGCAGCTCCCATTTTCGATAACCATAATTTTATTATTAAATACATTAATGGCCATCTATTTACATATAACTAATGATTTTCTGGAAAATATATACAGTATTTTTCGCACTGCGGCCGGGCGGAGTTCGTTGCTAAACGACTCAAATTACTCCTTCCTTTAGGAGATGATTCCAACCGGTTCTGGCTTGAGTGGCTGTTCTCCTGGTAGGTCTTACTACGAGATTTCCTCTTCCTGACTCACTTGGTCAGCGTTACTTCCGTATACAACTGTGTCACTTTCCCTTAGATTTTCATTTACATTTGATTGAATGTCATTTAAATTTCCAAGGGCATCAATTTATTTATTGTGCATAAACTTCCCGCCACGACACAACATTTGACATTCTACAACACCCTGTGCATCTGGGTACAATTCAATACTTGCCAGAGGCCACAATTGTTCGATGTTTGTTCAGTATCAATCACACAGTTGTCACCTGGTTTGAATGTTCTGTCGATTACTGCCTCTGTCGCACCATAAAAGTGTTCACTAGTGTAAGAAGATATTTCCTTAAGCCACAATTAGAACCAATGATCACTTACCATTAATTCAACATTTTAAATTAATCACACAATACTGCCGCATCATTATAACTTCATCACATTCTTCCAGATTATCTCTATAGACAGGAGCAGCTTTCAAATATCCTTTCCACATATTAGGTGATAAGATGTTAATACATCTGCCTCAGGTGTATCACTCATGTACGAGAAAGGCCTATTATATATCCGATTTTCTGCCTCCCAAACACATGCATGGAAATTCTTCCAATTTAATTTTCTTTTCCGGTGTAGTACTTTATGGAGCAACTCTTCACATGTGCCTATAAGTCTTTCGTACAAGCCCCCCCCTGCAAGGGCTCTAGAGTAATAAATTCCAGGTACACCCTCGCTGGGTTAACAGAGAATGAACATCATTACATTATTTAAAACTCATCTAATGTTTAGCACCTGCTACAAAATTTTGTGGCATTATCCAAAATCATCAATCTCGGACAGGATCTCCTAGCGCTGCAAATTTTTCGAAACAGGCTGTATAAACTGTTCTGCAAAATCCTGTGCCACTTCTAAATGAATGCCCTAGTAGCAGTAACAAGGTGAATACAAACAAACAATACACTTTCTCTTTCCGGGAACACCATCTGAAGTACCTGTTAAAATTATTGACCATTCATTAGTTCCTACACCTGTTACATCAAAATGGTTTCACTAATTGTACACGCTCCTTTTTGGCAATGAGGAGGGACCGTGGGTTACATATAGGATCCTGATCCCACGGCGACATATTACACAAGATTTAAATCATCCCTTTTTACACTTTGCCGTCCTTGTGGAATACAGAAAGTTACCCTAATACAATTTAAGGTATCTTGTACCCCACAATGCATTACAATTTTAGCATTTAGCACAAATAAATTTGTTTAGATGAGAGTTTTGGGGGCAGTAAGATAGGGTGTTTTAGCATAATCACCCAATTCAGCATTTTATAACCTACCTCTGCACCTAATTACATGTTCTCTAAATACAGTCCCAAATTTCTTTATTATGGAACCTTTCACATTTTTCATTCCCATCATCAATTTAATCTCATTTCCATAGAATTCTTCTTGTACCCTCTTTATCCAATATTCAAGAGGATGTGAAAACTTGCATAAATAATCATCTTGTTTTAGAAATTTAAACCCAACTTAGTTAAAAACCATTTTTTTTTGAAAAAAAATTAGTTTGAGAGGTAAAGAGATACTATTTATATCTATGGCAAGGAAGGACAAACTATTGGAGCGGTGGTCAGAGTAATTTCAACAGGAGCAATATAAACGCCTTTTGTACAGGCCAATTAGCTTTATTTAACCAACCAGGGGGGCACGGTGCCTTTAAACCATTATAGCAGGCATTTACAAATATAGCATAAAGTAAATCTTTGAGACAAGAAATCAGCCGGATTCTCCTCACCAGTATATAATAAATGTTAAACAATCTGACGCCAAACTATTATACTTCACTTGCATCTGATTAATTTCAGTGAATCTGTTTTGACTGTACACGATTTAAAAACTTTTTCCATTACGAATCCATTGTAAGGATACCTCATTATCAGACCAAATTACAGTGTCGCTATATTATTCTCATGCAACTTATTTCTTATATAATTAGCAATTTGACACCTACATAAATGGAGCTGTTATTTCCAACTGAGGTAAGCGAGTATGTGATTTAATTGGAGACACTTTAGCCTTAGACATAAACAACAGAAATAACACTATTACACAGATGATAAAGCCAACTGCTCCATGTTGCCAATTTTGAAGCATCACAAAAATGTGAAGTACATTTTTCTCCCATTTTGTGGATTGCCACCTGGCGTGGAACTCCAACATTGTGAATTTTTCATTATCACCAATTAATTCAATCCAACATGTTAATGAAATCCACAGGTAGAATTTCATCCCAACACATTTTAAGTTTTCCATGCTTCTGGACTAATAATTTATTTTTTTCCCCCTCTTATAGTAAGGGTGACACTAAACCTAGTGGATCAAAACATTTGGAAACTTCAGGAAATTGGGAACTAGACTCTCTTAGTTAATTTATTTGGGCATACTGTAATTATTAGTTTTAACATGATCAAATCTCTCTCAGTATCCCAAAGTTAAACCCAATACATTACTACATTTTGGTACTTCATCTCCAGGGTAATCTTTACTTATTATGTCCTTTAATTGGACGAATTACTATTCCATTCCCTCAAGGCATATTTGCACTTTGCATTATTTCAATTAGCCTCTCCATAAGTCATTAACAGTTCCTCTTCAGTTGGACGTCACAACCCAGGAAAATGTCCACATAAATACTTTTTGCCTCATTACTTTACTCAATGGAACTTTCCATACGTTTAAGGTGTGCATTTATCGTCGCTTGAAGAGGAATGG